ACCTTTCTGCTGTTGGAATCCTTATCCAATACGGATACGATGTGCATGCGGTCGACCTCTTACTAATGAGGTCAACCTGATAGGTGCACAAGGGTCGACCTATGAGGTATTTGAGTCGACCTTTCATTCTGTTATACCACCAAAGAGGTCGACCATTTTATGTAGACGGTCGACCGCTTCTCTGAACCTCACATAACTGAATTTGTCAATTCGGTCGAACGCCTTGAGGATTAAGTCGACCAAAAAGTCCATGTCACTGTGACATGCATGTCACCGTAGCAAAATCCTTACAATTATTCATTTCAAAACTGTCATCAGGAAACACAATATTTTCATTAATAATAATTGTTCACACAATTGAAATTTAAAAACTAAAATGATCAAAATATTGGAGCGAAATAGAGTGAAACATAGATGGTAGTATTTATTCATTCGGGAGAAGAAAACAGGCTCAATGTTTATAAAGTATGAGGAAAATTTGAATTATGTTTTGCATCTAATCCTAATAGTATGGATAATTTATAATTGTTATTAATATTTTATCATAATATAATTCTAATAATATGAATAGTTAATTGAGGTTATTGTATGGGGTAATATTTTTGTATGGCCTGAACTTTAACCAAAATAAATATCCTGGCCAATCTTTTCGATCTATAACATCCTGGCCCGAACTATACTCCAAAATAAACAATTTGGCCAGATTCGACTTTTGACCGCTAACTTGGACGGTCAACGGTCAACGCGCCATGCCACTGCCAACTCAGCAAGTTTAAACAATTTTTTTTTAATTTACACCTATTCCATTTTCTTTTCATTTATCATTTTGACAAAAAAAAATTTCGGGACAAAACGCCCCACCCCGAGCCCTAAACTAAACCCTACCTTATCCATATCGCAACCCCATCCCCATCCACAGAATTCACCCACCGTCACTCACTTTCTCCTTCCTTCGTCGAAGCTCCTCCATCGACCGACAAAAATGCAGCGGCGGACGTTCTTCTGAGCCCGCCGCTGCCGCCGCCATCGATAATCACCCTTCTCCCTTCTCCTTCTACCCTCTCGCGATTATTTTCTGCCTCCTCCCTCGCGATTTCTGCTTCTCTCTCTGTGTATCGAAAACGACTTGGTGGAAAGGGACGACGACAGGTCCACATTCCAAAGGTACCACAGCCACCAGATCAGGTTCCCCACCAGCAACGTAAGCAATCCCTTTCTTCTGTCCATTTCCTTTCTTTTTTAAATACTCGATACATCTAAGGATTAGGGTTTTTTAGTAAACTAATGCTCATGACCAGCATTTGTCGCGTTTAGAGCTGGAAATTGTGATTAAAGTAATGGAAATTGAGATTAAAGTAATGCAAATTCAGATTAAAGTAATCAGCGTACCAATATTTTTTTTCTTTGCTAGAATGGACGACATGGTTGAGCTTATTCTGTATCATGGAGGCGCAATGGATATGTCGGGGGATGTTCCACAGTACGTTGGGGGGGATTGTCGATGTCGTCAATGTGAATCGTGATGTCTTGTCCTACTTCGAATTGACGAAGACTTTGATTGAAGATTTGGAGTATATTTTGGTCGAGAGGCTATGGTATAGTGACTGGATTGCATGAAATTGTGTCGGATGTGGAGGTTTTAACTGGATTGCTGCCTTTAGTTGGAACTGGAGATATAAGGGTGTACTTTGAGGCAACAAGGGATCTCGGAGAGCTGGGTTATATGGGAGACAATTATGGGAATTTTCCTGAAGGGGAAGATGCATCTGGTGACAATTTAGCTGCACCTTACTTGTTCGGCTAGACGATGATGATGCTCAGACATCCGACGAGGAATACCATGAGATTAGAGCTGATGCTAGGAGAAGGAGTAGAAGATTTATAGCAGATCTTGATGGAGAAGGTAGTTCAGTGAATCAATTGTTTACGTGGGATGTCAACCATCTTGCTGACTTTGCTTCGGATAGTGCTAGCATTGAGGGTGGAGCTGAAGCTGAAACTGAAACGGTGGAGCTTGATGAGAGTTTGGAGGTTGAGGAGAGTATTGAAAGGGGTGCAGAACAAGTGAACCTGGAGGAGGAGATCAATGTCGAAGGATAAGTTGATACGGAGTACAGGGCATCTGAAGATTATGCTCATGTTAGAGGGAACATTACTAAAGATGATGGTGCTACAAGTTTCGACAAGAGCTTGTGCTATGATCCCAAGTGTGATCATAGCACATTGAAGTTCAAAACACATATGGGGTTTTTAGATGGTTCACAATTTAAAGCTGCTGTCATGAAGAGTGCAATTAATATGGGAGCGGATATTAGATGGGTTAGGAGCAGTGAAACGAGGAAGGAAGCTATGTGTGCATAAAGGGAGGAGTATGGTTGCATGTGGAAGGTTTATGGTACTTGGTTTCGTGGAAAAGAAGCATTCATGGTTAAATATGCTGTACCAGATCATACTTGCCCTCGAGCAATTCGGATTCGTGCGGCGGGTTATAAGTGGATTGCATCTGAGTACCTGGATGTTTTCCGTGTTAATCAAGCATGGAAAGTTAACTTAATAGAAGCTGACTTGAAGACCAAACTCAATTTGTATGTGTCTAACCAAACCTGTTATAAGGCACGTTTGGAGGCTCGAAGGTTGCTTTATGGGTCTCTTACTGAGGATTTTCACAAACTTAGAGACTATATTGGTCATTTGCTGTGAGTTGACCGTAGAGGGTCATTCCTGCTCGAGGTTGACACTGTGCCAAACTCAGAGAAGGTATATTTCAAGTGATTATTCATTGGTTTCTCTAGTTTGGCAAGGGGTTTCTTGGAAGGGTGCATGCCTTTCTTTTGTTTGGATGGCTGCTTCTTGAAAGGGGAAGTACAAGGGATGTTACGGTCAGCTATTAGAAATGACGGTAACAACCATATGTTCCCAATCGCATGGGCAATCGTTGAATAAGAAAACAAAAGTTCCTGGACCTGGTTCATTAAAACAATGCAAGAGCTACTTCGGATTGAGGATGGTGGCGGTTTGACAGTAGTCTCTGGCCAACAAAACGTACGCATTCCTACTTGGTTAATAAACCTTGAATTGTTATAATTCTACAATCTGACTTTATGTGTTTACTTGTGGATCTTGCAGGGGCTGGTGGAAGCGCTAAATGACTATATGCCTTCTGCAGAACATCGAAAGTGCGCTCGTCATGTCCACGCACACTTCATAGAAAAAAACACAAGTCAGCTATAGCTTCTGATATCTACCGGGAGGCGGTGTATGCATTAAATGAACCTGATTGGAGGGCAGCTGTTGATAAATTGAAGCAACTTGGTGAAGATACTGATACAGACTTCATGGCCATGGAGCCAGAAAGGTTCTGTAGAGTGTTCATGTAGACAGTCTCCAAAAGTGATTCCGTAGAAAACAACATTTGTGGGTCTTTCAACAAATGGATCTTGCGGTTTAGGTCATTGAGACCAATTGCAATGTTGGAGGGTATCCGAGTGGCTGTCATGACACGAATTGTCAAGAACCGAAAAATGATGAAGCGATGGAGGGATAAATTTCCACCAGTTGTTAGGGGAAAACTAGAGAAGGCAAAGCATTTGGCACGCATGTGCACCAGCCGCCCTTCTACAGAAGATAAGCATGAGGTAACCATAGAAGACAAGGGTTTTGTAGTTAACATCAAGAAGGGAAGTTGCTCATGTGGTTTCTGGTTGCTAAATGGAATACCATACTGCCATAACTTACTTGAGAGGGAAACCGGAGGATTTTGTGATTGAGTACTTCTCTATGAATCGAGTAAAATGTGCCTACATGCACCCTATCCCACCATTAGAGGGTCGAAAAGCATGGCTTAGAGTGGAAGGATACAAGGTATACCCACCTCAGATTCGTCGAATGCATGGACGTCCAAAAACTAAAAGGAAGAGGGAGTCGTGGGAGGGAACTAGGAAACCTTCAAGAGATGGACATGGGGAAATTGCTACTCGACACAGCCTTGTGATAACCTGCACCAACTGTGGAAAAGATGGTCACAACAAAAGGATCTGCAAGAATCCAAGGAAGCCACCATAACATAAAAAAAAAAAGGGTCAGAGCAGCACAACCTAGGAATCAAGGAAATGCAACTGCTGACCAAAACACCACCAACGAGGTAATCCCAGTTTTAACTTAAGCCCAAAACAAAAAAAATTCCCTTCACTTTCCTGTTTTCATTTTGTTAATGCTGATTATTATAACTTCAGCCAAAACAAAGGAAGAAGAACAGATGCTCAAAGTGTTCATCAAAGCATCATAACGTTAGAAGATGTTCTATGATTGTTGGTATTCATATATGGTGATTGAATATAGTGTGAATGGTGAATGTTTGGGTTTTGAGAAGTGAGTTTGGCTTTATGTAGGCTCCTCATGTCGGATCATCCAGTAGGCATGTAACAGATAGGGAAATGAGAATGCGCGGAATTGGAACTTATATTGATGAGAACACAGGCAACATGTATGCTAGGGTAAGGTTAAATGTTTGTATATTAACATGCATCTACGGTTTTTAAGTTGGTAAGAGGCTAATTCTTTGTTTTTGGCAGATGAGTACGAGGGTTCCAGGGGCTCCCCAAGCCACTGCACCAGATGTGCCTGCTGTAGGTGCTACACAGCCGCCTGCTACTCAGCCAGAGATGCCTTAGGGAAGCTAGAAGAAAGCTAAGTAGCTTAAGTTGTAGGAAACTCCACACTTTTGTAATTTGTACATGGTCGCACATGTTAGCACATGTTTTAGATGTGGAGTATTTTGTACATGCTAGGACATGTTAGCAAGGATCCTGCACTTAGTTTCTCAAACTTCAGACTCGTGTTAGAAGTAGAAAGCTTCGAGTCACTCTTTTGCTAGGTAACTCAGAATCCAAACTTATGGTCACAGGATTCTGCCTTATTTTGTACATGCTATTGCTAGGACATGTTAAAATGATGGTGATTGCAAGTTTGGTTGATGTATACTAACTCGATTAAAACGATCAGCTTTATTGAATCTCCATTAGAAACACCATTCTTCTTCAACATGAAATCTCCATTACATTCGAAGTGGTCCACACAAGATTACAACAACGACTATGAATAGCACACAAAAACAACGTAAATTCATCCTATTTTGAAGGCCATAAACCGTATGTCTCATCTTTCGCAGATCGAGACAAATTGCAGAATTGAGTTCGGAAAGCTTGGCCAAGTCGTCTAAAATAGCAGCCTTTTCTTCCTTCCGTTTCCTGGCCTTCTCTTCTGCTTTACGAACACGGCCTTATAGAGCTTCCATATCACCAAGCTTCAACTTCAGTTCATGATTCTCTTCCATCAATCCATCAACCCTCGATTCACTATCCAGCTCGTCATCAACCCATCGGAAAAAATGGCAACTCTTTTTTTCATCCTACAGAAATGGAAGAGGTGAATCGTGGTTGTGTTGGTCGAAAACAAAGAGATTTAAATCTGGATTTCAACCTACCTTCCAATATGGACAAGAGTAGAACATTCTTCCAGGATTCAAGCTAGTGCGAGATGCATTGATCACACAAGGGGCTTTGTGCACTTTACAACGAATCGTGCATGTGTTCGTCAAACGGGAAGCAGTGGAACCTTCGTCGGCGTTTTTCACAGATCTCCTCGACATGTCTCTTTCTTTCTGCAAACCTTTGACGGCGGCGGCGACGGCAGCGGAGGCGGCGGCGCTGGGCTATTCTATGCTTCTCTACAACATCGTTGGCGGCCGGAATGGAGGAAGAGAGGAGGAGAGGAGAGGAGACGAGACGAAGAAGGGGAAGAATCAGGTTAGGGCTCGGGGTGGGGCGTTTTGTCCTGAAAATATATTTTCTTTTCATCAAAATGATAAATGAAAAGAAAATGGAATAGGTTTAAATTAAAAAAAAATTTTAAACTTGGTGAGTTGGTAGTGACATGGCGCGTTGACTAACGGTCAACGCGTTTGACCGTCCAAGTTGACGGCAAAAGTCAAATCTGGCCAAATTGTTTATTTTGGTGTATAGTTCGGGCCAGGATGTTATAGATCGAAAAAATTGGCCAGGATATTTATTTTGGTTAAATTTCAGGCCATATGAAAATATTAACCCTTATTATATAGTTTCCATAACAATATAGTTGTAGAAAAGTTTTGATACTGTAGTCCTATTTAGAAAATTTAGAAAAAAAAAAATCGTATTGTTTTAATAATTCATCGTGTCTTGGTATGCCGATGGGTCGACTCATTAGGTAATTTGACCCAATTCTCGTGACCCATATGGGCGTCGGGTTGGACTCAAATAGACCAATATGCACTTTTAATGGTTGGATTTGAGTTGGATTTGAATTGAAACGATTCATTTAGGTTAGATACAAATGAGCCTAGTTAAGTCTAGATGATTGTATATACAAACAACAATATTAACCATTTCATCAACGACTTTCATCCCAATTATTCACATTTAATGAAGGTGTTTCCACCTTTATTTTTTTTATAACAAAAAGAAAGACAAAATTATATTATAATCGGACACATATTTTGTTTTGGACTTCCCATATTATGGGTCCAATTTAATTTCAGACCGAAAATTGGGTATGAGTATGCCCCAAAGCAACATTACTCAAAGTTGATTTAAACAATAATAAATTGGACTTGAGCAATACTCAAATATTGGGTCTGTTTGCCATCCCTAATCATGTTATTAACAAACAAAAAAGTTCCTATCATAAGAATTGCCTACACTCTTGATTCTTGAAATTTAAAACCTAAAACAGTTAAAATACTGAAGGTAACTAAGATTGTTAAATTTATTCATTTAGGAAAAGAAAAAAAGCTCAATGTTTATAAAGCACGAGAGAAATTTTGTGGATGTTTTTGTATCTAATCCTTATAATATGAATAATTTATGAATGTAATTAATTTTTTTTTTACAATATAATTCTAACAATATGAATAACTAGTTGAAGTTGTTAGTTCTTATAAAAAAGTTATGATAGTATGTGAATATATAGGAGTTACAAAAAATTATTTATGGTTATATTTGTGAAGTTGTGGGTAAGATATCGGTTACATTGATTGTAATTTTTGTCAAAGATCACGATCAATCACACAAAACAAGAACGCGAGACACGAGATTTGCGTGGTTTTCCCAACGATGATTGTTGAGACTAGTCCACGACACAAGGCAGAGTTTATGTTTATTATTCACGTAATCGTTATAGTACAGAACGGCCATATAGCATATATATACTCGGCCGAACTTAACCCTAAAAGGTTAATTACATTTTGGAACTCCTAACTTCTAACACCCTCCCTCAAATTGATGATGCTTACGCAACATCAATTTGTGTGCTAGAAACTAGTGACGAGTAGATGGCACGGCCTTAGTCAACAAATCTGCAGTCTGATCCTCAGAAGTAATATATGCGAGCTCCACAGAACCTTCTGTCACCAATTGCCGGATATAATGAACATGAACTTCGATGTGTTTGGTGCGATCATGGAGTATAGGATTCGTGGCTATACGAATGGCACTGGTATTGTCAACATAAAGGTGAACTGGCGCGGTGACAGGAACACCCAATTCAGCCAATAAACGACATAACAGGTAATCTCAGAAGCTACCTCACTCATGGATCGATACTCGACTTCGAGGGAAGATTTAGAAACTCGATCCTGCTTCTTACACCGCCATGATATAAAGGAGTGACCCACCTTAACACACCAGCATGACGTTGAACGATGCGTATCAAGATACCCTGCATAATCTGCATCGACATACGCCTCAACCACAGAGTCACTGCCAGCAGGAAATAGTAAACCAACATCCTGGCTACCCCGAAGATAACGTAGAATACGCAAAACAACATTCCAGTGAGTCGAACGAGGAGCAGACATAAACTGACTCACCACCTGTACAACATATGATATATCCGAACGCGTGTGAGTAAGATAGATTAGACTGCCGACGATACTGCGATACAAGGAACCATTAGCTAATTGATCACCATCTGCCTTTCGAAGTTTCAGATTCTGTTCCATGGGAGTAGCACACGGAACACACTCATCCATATGAGCTTCTTCCAGTAAGCGAGAACATATTTCCGTTGACCAACATGAATACCTTCAGAGGACTGATGAATCTCAAGACCCAAGAAATAAGAGAGATCGCCCAGTTCCTTTACACGATCAGAGCGACGAAGGGAAGGACCGGCATCATCAACCTGTGGATAAAGTAGAATCTGTTGTAGATGAGGACGCAGACGAGGACGATGAGGAAGTGGGCGAGGAGGTGGAGAGAGAGTGAGGACTCGCAGAGCCCGATCGAGAAGATGAATCCCAGGAAGACGAAGAAGAGCAGGCCGAGGAAGTGATTGGTGAGGAATCTGCCATCAAAGACGAGGACCCAATAGAGTCCGAGGAAGAAGAGTCGGAGGAAGAGGGGAGACCGGGAGCAGTCCCAGGATCAGTATCAGCAGGAGTATGGTCTTCAAAGGCACTCAAGAAAGCAAGATCAGGAGGTGCCTCCGATGGAGAGATAGAAGCCCCATAGTAGAGTATATGTTCAAGAAAGACCACATGACACGATATACGCACACGGCGAGCAGCAACATCGTAGCAAACATAACCTTTGTGCTTCTCAGAGTATCCCATGAAGACACACTTATTAGACTTCGGAGTGAGCTTTGTCCGCTCCCGACGAGCCAAAAGAACATAGCAGACACACCCAAACACCTTTAGCCATGCGTAATTCGGGAGACGAGAGTAAAGTGCCTGATATGGACTACGCTGCTATAGAACGGGAGTAATGTGACGATTGATTAAGTACATGCAGCAGATTAGATGTAAACTCTCCTCCAAGGCCAGACCACAGAATCTTAACCGTCCGATTAAACTGAGTAGAAACCATGGAAAGAAACTCCTGAGCAACAGTAAGCAACTCCGACTTCTGATGAAGGAAATAGACCCATGTAAAACGTGTTGCATAGTCCACAAATAGGGAGAAGTATCGAAACCCCAGCCGAGAAGTTACCGGAGACGGACCCATAAGTCAGTATGGACGAGATCAAATGGTTCAGCATAAATAGTAGTGCTCGAAGTAAAAGAACTTTGATTCATTTTTGCTTGCAAACAATAAACACAGTCATGAATGTTATTGTTCAAAACAGTACCAGACAACCATTTATTCTGAAACATAGTATGAAGTCTCCTAGAATGGGGATGTCCCAAACGAAAATGCCACAAATCCCAGTCAGATAATTTTACTGAAGACACCAAACCACTACGACAAGAATCAACTAACTGCTTCCCAGTTCCCGCTAGTTGATCTTCGTCCCAGTCAGCCACCACCAGAGCTTCGCGCCCACGTACTAGCCCATGCAAGCAGCCATCTGACACTCCTGATCGAGGAAAAAATCCAGCAAAAATTTCCTCCCGCGTTTACTCCCTCTCCCGAGCTCCTTCTCCGTCCTCGTGTCCTGCCAACACATTCGGTGTTGTAAAAAATAACCCGACACCCATCTTCGGCAAGCTGCCCCACAGAAACGAGACTAGGAACAAGCTTGGGAACATATAACGTATCGGGAAATGAGATCTGAGACTGAGTAATATGACCATCTCCTTTAACAGGCATAGTCGAGCCATTCACAGTCTGTAAATCAAGAAAAGGAGCCGAGGAATCCAGAGTACGAAAGACATGTCGAGAGCTATTCATGTTATTATAAGCTATAGAGTCAATATGCCAAGCAGGAGAGGAGAGATCCTTACTAGTAGCAAAAACCGAAGTAATTGTGGTCGGGAGAACCTCCTTCAGTGCCTCCTGAACGAGACGCCACACATCAGTGGAGGACAAGGAAGAGGACGCGCCAGCAGAGGCACCAGCTCCAACCGTCGTGGTTGCATAAGCAGATCCTAAAGAAGCTCCACCTCGAGAGCTAGTCCCACGTCCACGTCCCCGACGAGCCAAGATGGGACAATCGGCAATCACATGGCCATCTTGCTTACAGTAATTGCAAAGAATTCTTCTTCATCGGACAGTCCGCAAGGAGATGACCCTCTTGTTTACAATAATTACAGATATTTCACTTCTTGCAGTGATATTGAATATGACCAGGTTCCTTACAGTGATGACAAATAATTTCACCCTTCGCAGTACGGTGAAACTGAGGCTTCCCTCCCTGAACAGCAAATGCAGTTGACGAACCACTAGCATGGATATCCAACTTCGCCTGACTACGCAGACACGTCTCTTCACGAAGAAGCTCGTCAAGAATCTCCTCCATAGTTTCAACATTACGATGGAGAAGTGAAGCCCGGATGGCCTCAAACTCGGGCCTTAGATTCATTAAGAACTGCATAATACGAGTGCTACTACACTCGCGAATTACCGGCCGAAACCTAACTAGACAGCAAGGAACTCGTCAGATGATCATGCTCAGTCCAAAGAGCAACAACAGCTTGATAGTACGTACTCACATCAGAATTCCCCTGTGTCAGGCGCCCAAGATCACATTCAATATCAAATTTGCGGGACGCAGTGGGTTTAGAATACAAGGTAGCGAGATGCTGCCATATAACAGCCGCCGTACGAAAGCCCCGCAAACTCAAGGCTATGCCTTGATCAATCGATCCTAGAAGCCACACCATAACAGTAGCATTGGAAGCTTCCCAATCTTCCTTGACCTTGTCAGAAGCGTTGACAGAAGGCTCTTTGGCCGAGCCAACAAGAAACGGCAGCAGCCGCTTA